CCCCCCCCCCCCCCCCCCGAGACCCGCCTTTTTCGCAAAAACTGCCATGGCAGGACAAGAGCATACATGTAGTCATGCAACCTTCTAATACGATAAACTAAATAGGTCAACTCCAATGACATTCCCTTCAGATTCCTTTATCCAGATTCCATGTTGAAAGATGAACGCCAAGGAGATCTCGGCCTTTCATTGAATACGCCTCCTATAGGGTCCTCCTAATTCAATATACTCCTGATGCGGATCCCCAAGAAGACTCCCATGAAGAGCCCTTACATTGCCCATAGATTCTGTCCCATAGCTTCATCATGACCTCATAGTTCAATGTACTGCGGATAAGGATACCCAATAGGAATCCCATGAGCACCTGCAACTTTTTGCTAGGGCTTGCTCTGCTACTCTGAATTCAATGTACGCCAAATGCAGATACCCAGCAGAACTTCAACTGAGAATCCCCAGCAATGTCCCCGAATGAGCATCCTTCTTGTTCCTAGTGTGGATCCCTATTCATTATAGAGATCCTCAATAGAGATTCTCAACGAGACTTACAGCTAGTGTTGGAAATCCGGGTTGTGAAAAGGACATTCGTGATAAGGATTTCAGTATGAAAGAACCAAAGCTTATGGTTTGTATCACTAAGAATGATCTTTAAGATGGACTTCTCAGGCGGGTGCAGGATCAAGCATGCAAGCAAAACTTTCCAATTGAAAAATGAAACTCAGTTTCTACAGATGTTTAACGAGATGTTTAATGAACCATTCCACAAACTCAGTCAAAGAAACAATACGCAAACAACACAATTAAGTAGAACCAATGGAACCCATAATCCTATTCACTTAGGTTCTTTCCTGATATTCGAGATCAATTCATTGTTGATTTCTTCCACCTATTCTCACTAGCAAACGGAAGGATACGGATACCTATGAACCTTTGTTAGGTATGTTATGTTCTCTGGGAATCCTATATACCTGCATTGAGAATTTTAGATCAGGATTCCTACTAGGAGACGGAAGAATACTCATGGACCCTTGTTAGGCATTCTCCATGGGAGCACTACTGTTCATCTGTACAAGGAGCATTTTGAATTACAATGTCCACGCGAACATAGACTAATAGAGAAAATGCCCTCAAGGGAATCTTCATAATTTCGGGATTTCATTACTGTCATTCACGACTGGCGATTTGACAGGCTTGCAAGCTAGAGTGCATATCACAAATCATTCCAATGTGATTTAATCAAATTATGGATTTCCTCAGCTTCAGCAAAAATCAAGATTGTCATTAGGTTTCTACAGTAGAATTCAGCTTCAGATACAGCCAGCATTACCGAGTTGAGGCCAGTGTTGGATTTCAGGGAACCTCTCGCCTCAGACCACAGTCATTTCGACAACAATAATTGAAACTCCATGTTCCCATGTTTCTATATCTCCGGTATATGGTCACGTTTCAGTACTTAGACTTTTTGACTCTCATATTTCCACATTCGACATTTCCACATTCCCGCATTTCCACATTTCCACATTTCCCCACTCCAGATTTCAACATTTCCAGAGTCCACACTTCCACATTTGCAAGCCCCAACTTTCCACATTCCCATGTTTATGGAAATGTGGAAAGTTAGGGGCTGCAAATGTGGAAATGGGGAAAGTTAGGGTCCGCAAATGTTGAAATGTGGAGATGTGAAAAATTGGGGGCTGCAGATGTGGAAATGTGGAAAGTTGAGGGCTGCAGATACGGACATGTGGAAATATGGAATCTGAAAGCAGATCCCACCACAACACAGCAACCCTCTTCAGCTTCTCGAAAAGAATTTGGGTGAAGCGTGGGTCTCCTGCGGGGGTGGCATATATATATATATATGTGTAGGTAAAAAGATATTATATATGTATATGTGCATTTATATGTGTATATATATATATGTATATATGTATGTACATCTGTAAGTTGTGCTATGCGACGCCATATTACATGATCTGGTCTGGTGCTTAATCATGGAATGGAGCCTAGTGTGATACGGTAAGTACAAACAAATTCAATGACAGTATTCATACAGTTTGGATATATATATATATATGCAGAAAATGAATTCTCATTGGTCATGTTTTGAACAAGTTTTGCTTTGCAAAAGCTTGGCACGCGAGCTTCTGAGGCCGGCAGAGCGCATCTCCGCCTCCTCCACATGGGCCACCTGAAACTTGCAGGATGGCAACCGGCAGTCGGAGAATCTCGACCAAATGAGTGACTTCCTGGAGGTGAGCCGAGGCGCTTCGTTTCCATCCACAAAGATATGGAGGTCACCACCCCCTGCCGCATTCTTATTTCTGGGGAGGCAGGCACCCGAAGCTCCAACATGCGAGGTCCCGGCCAGCTATTAGGAGCCCAATGCGTTGCCCGACTGCAAGGGCAGCATGCGGCTCTCTTAAGAAAACAGAATAAGTGATCAGGCAGCCGCACCTTGGAGCTGATCTGACTGCCAGTTTATGGTGCCCTCCTTGCCATTGAGGTACTTGTTGCCTGCTGCGCCAGCCATCTGCCGCCATGACCCGCTGTTGCAGGAGCAGCCTGGCCTGTATATCCCAAGATGAAAGTTTGTGGCACCCTCCAAGCTTTGTCAGGAAGTCGCCTCAGTTGTCGTTGCATCCACTCGGCTTCAGATAAAATAGATAAATCCCTTGAGGTCCCTGCTGGTCCTTCAAGTCGCCTGAGAAACACATGCAAAGCACTCAGTGAATGAAAGCGAAGCGTCCGCCCTTGAGTGCCGCACTTGGACTTGAGTGGGTGACTCCAATTCCCAGCCTCCGGGCACGTCCACAATGCTTAACGTCACAGAGAAGCACATCAGCACGGCACCCGCCCATCCAGCCATCCACTGTTTGGCCAACCTCTCATGGGACCAAGTGGTGCACCGATGGTTGACTACAAAACTCGCAAGAAGCTGAGCCAAGCCTCTACCTCGAAGTATCGCCCTTCACTCTGCTGCATTAGAGGTCTCTTGCAAATGGCCACCGACCTTACTAGGTAACGGTCTCCAAGCTTGTTTGCTTCACATGACAACTGGAGCCCGACTCCCTGCAGCCGCAGCTGCGAGTCGCAGTGTAGCCGTCCTGTTCTTGGCAACATGTGGCAAGAATTAGTTGATTGCGGTATTGCATGTCCTGTGAGAGTAGAATGTTCAAACCAACAACATCATGGCCTCAGAAAAACAAACTCCTCTTGCTTCTCAGAGCTGAAATTGATACAAAGGTCCAGACAAAATGGAGCGTCACCTGGCCTCCAAAGATGAAGCAGAGATTTTTTTAGAAATTGTTCCTCACCTGAATTTACCAACAGCTCCGCTGTGCAGAGCTGAGGGCGACACGATGACTCCTCCAGCTTTGCCAGCCGTCTGGGTGTCGATGCCTGGCTGCCAACTTGTTGCGGTTCGCACGTCATGGCATCTGCACACCTCCTGATCTTGCTTTATGCCCGCACGGCGCTGCAGCTCTGCAACCTGGAAATTCACAAGATTCAACTTCAGGTGATTCACATGAGGGTCGCAGCATCATGGAGTCCTTTGTTCCTAGATCAGGTCTTAGGGCCAGCACAGCCGCCCTGGCTTTCTCGACGGCAAGTAAAATGTCGGATCCGAACTGGGGCAGCGCCACATGGCCAAGAACATCTGGAAATTGCAAGAGCACTGCAGCTACCAAGCTATCCTAGCATCTCCCTTAGTAACCCTTGTAATTAGCAGTCCCCTATATAATCCCCTAAGGAGTTGCCCAAGCCACCCCAAGCCGCCGGCCAGCAAGGGCTCACCAGGCGTCACACCCGGCGCCACACCAGGAGCCACAAACGACACAGATGGGTTGCTTTTGCTGCAGGGAATGTCCACAGCCTTGGCCAAGCTGGCGTGGGATTCAGCTCACAAGCGGCAAGATTTCAAGGCCAGCCAGGGAAACTCCTAAGCCCAGGATTGACTTGCTGAGAGTCCTTCGGCCATCCCCACATAGCATGGTAGGAATCGCAGGACTTATTTTGCATGAGAGATACGAGGCTTTACGGAAATTGCCAAATCTTCTGATAGGATTTTCATGCCCATGAAACGGCAAGGAACATCTATGGTCTATGGTTGTCCTCCTCCAGAGTCTACAAGGATGCAAAAAAAAAACTATCACACGGTGGTACAGTATGTGCAGTATGTACTGAGGGGAGCTCCGGACAAGCTGATGCCTGTAGCTCCCGCCGCCCAATCTTACGTGTTGCCAGGTGCCTGCTTAGCAACATGATCTGAGCTCGAAGCCACTGTTTGTTCCAGGCAGTCGATCCCAACCTCTGCTCAGCAAGACTTGATTTTGATATACATTTATTATTGGAGGTTACGGAAAGCCTCACGGTCTGTCGAGCGGCAGAGGCGCTTTCTGGAGCAAAGGCTTTGTGCGCAGATTGCGCAGGCTCCTCCGCGTCTACCACAACCTAGGCCGACCAGGCTGCAGACATTTCTTTAAGCAATTGTCCAGGACGAAATCTTTCATGGCTCCCACATGCCAACCATGCACTCCTGAAAAACGCCTGGGAAGCTGGCGATGGTCTTGTCCAAGCTCACATCTCTTCTTGGTGAGCTGTTGTGCCCATGCATTGCCTCACTGACAACCTCAGCAATGCTCGTCACAAAGGCTGCCCCTTGCAGCACCAGCTGCTCAGCTTCAAGCGATGGTTTTTTCCAAAGTAAGCCTGGGCTTCCTTTCGTCTTCGGTAGCCTGCACATTCACTAGGTCACCAGGTGAGCACGAACCGTAACCACGAGCCAGCTGCGTGCTGCCTGCATTTTTACCTGTGGCTGCGCAGGACTTTCCGTGCGAGTTTCCTGGATGCACAACTGTCTGGACTCACCTCCGCAGCTTTAGCAGCGTTTGCAACAACTTGGCTAAGACCGGCACGACCGAAGCCAAGGGCTGTGTCTCAGTTGGCGGGGCATCACTCGGCGAAGCCGGCTGCGAGGGTGTCGCTGGGGAAGCCAGCGTTTCCACGCTTCGAGTTGCTGCCTCCACGGAAGTCGCATACACATGCCATATCATTTAAGCGCAGTCAACTGCAGTAAATACAACAGATCCCTTATGCGAGTAGTGTCATTTAGCGTACAGTCGACTCTGTGCAAGTACACGTTTTGCAGGCTATGGCAACCCAACTCTCCTGGAGTCATCTCCACTGGCTCGTTTGGAATTTGGTGCCACTCCCATCCACACGACATGAATGCATTTTGCAATCAAGGTACAACATTTCAAGCCCCCCCGCACAAGCCAAATTTTCGTGCTTCTGCTTGCGCGAGATTTTCCCGAGCCTTTTTGCTAGATACGAGTGACTAGCATGACTGCTGGCGATGTTCCGCAAAAATACTTGTATGCATGGCTAGCCAATGATTGTCACGTGATCGTGTTAAACTGTCACGTGCTGTGACGCCGCAACAGCGAAGATTTCTCAGTGGCTGCTGAGCCCCGCACCACGGGAGCCGATGGCTGAGTCTCAGCTGGTGGAGCATTAGTCTGCGAAGCAGCCTGCGGGGACGTCGCCGGGAAAGCTATGGTTTCCACGCTTCGAGCTGCTGCCTCCAGAGAAGTCACGAACATATGCGGTGTGATGTAAGCGCACCGAGTCTCATCAAAAATGCAGCCTTCGCCTGCGCAGCTTTCAGCTCCGCAAGCTCTGCTTCTATGCGGGCCATTGCCTGGGAGTCTGTCACAGGAAGTTAAGTTGCGACACCGAAGCCTCCGAAGCCAGAGCCATGGCCCCTGCCGCTCCATTCAGCGAAGCCTCCAGGCTCTCCCGGGCTGCTGCCTACAAGCCATATCCAGGACACAATGGTCGAGGAATGTCGAGGATACATTTGAGGCTCTCCGACCTGCGCCTTGAGCTCACTGAGCTCAGCTTGGATTCGAGCCATAGCCTTGGCGTGCGTGGACACAAGGACCAACGCCATCTGAGGGATTGGGCACTAATTAATTAACCCATGCAACCTCATCGTGATGAGCCTTTTGTGCCATGACCTCGCTGGGATGTCAAGGAAAAGCGGCATTTGAATTCACAAGCACTCCCCTATGGCCTCAGCTGCTGCTGCCTGGCGCTCTGCCTGAACCCGAGCCTGTCAACAGGACTCAAGCCCTGCCGTATGATCTGCAGATGCCAGAAAAAGACTTTATCCTCCCTTGACATCCCAACATGCCCACGCCTCAGCCTCGGCCGCTATGGCTCGCAGCGCCTTTTTGGATTTTGTCCATTTCTTGGCGAAGTTTTGAGAAGAGAACCTTTAGACGCATTGCCTGCGTAGCCTCCGCAGCTGCATCCTCAACCTTGCGGCGCTCTTCGCCTGGCAGGCTCTGCCCGAAAGATCGACACTTTGCGAATCAAAACCCTTGAGCCACCTGGTTCTGGCGAGGTGTTTACCTCTGCCTGCAGTGCGTAGTGACATTTTCAAGCATTGCAGCTGTCACTAGATGCGCACCTGCTCTAATTGGATCTTGTCTGGGTACACCACGGATGGCGCTTGACCTAGGTATGCCATTGAATTGATCTTCCACGGACAGGATCGAGGGTGGAGACTGAAAATGTATGGCTGCTTCAGCACCTGTTGCTTGCATTGCATCCAGCTTCTACCGTACAGCATACCCAGGTAATCAATTTGCCGGCTTCCGATCGCCGTTTGTGTTTGTGCTTGCACCTGCTTCGCGAGGCACCGCGCTTGTAGACTGTGCCGGGGACTGATCGCACCTCAGCAACAGCTTATCTGAGGCAAACGTCCGATTGAGCCGATTCAGTAAGATGAGGAAAAGAATAAGACAGCCACCCGGCCCACTCGGGCCCCTTTTGCAGATCAGAGATACCTCCGTCAGGAGCATGGTCCGCATGGCCCGTCTTTTGTCTTCATCATTGCCAGGCAAGTCCCTAAGAAATGAACGGCTTTAGCAATGAACACGGCAGCACGCCGCACGGGACAACTTTTTCAAGTGCGAGTGGCCTTGCTCCATAGGCTCCTGCACCTGCGCCTTGTGCAGGCGCAAGCAGCTGTGGGAAAAGCGGTGCACTCATTGCCGGCCTTGATGACGGAACTGACAGAACTGGCTACCTCTGCAGTAAGCTTTGCAAAGACGCACTTGCGCATACATCAGAGCAAGACGACTCCAGCTGCAAGCCTCTTCCACTTCTGCAGCTAAGCGAGCTGGAAGCTTCGCATGGTCAGAAACGGCTGGCCTGCCAGGCAACGGCTATGCAGAAAAGTGTCACACTGAGGGCGGGCCGTGCAGCATGGGATCGGACACACGGGCGTGCTTGGAATGTCTGGGCTGTATGCCCTCTAGTCGTGCCTTTCCTTACCGCCCCTCGTGCCCACAGTGCTGAGCACAGTGCCTCAGAACTGAACAGCCAATCGTTTCCACAACTCCAACGCCAGAAGGAGCTTGTGGCAACAGAGGCCTGGTAGCCCATGGTCAAAACGCATGGACACTGACATGACAGCGGCGTGCCTTACCATAGGCCTCAGAGCTACGCCTTCACCAAGAAATCAGAAACACAGCAGGAAGTCTGCAACATGTTGCAACATCAGGCAATGGCGCAGTGACACGTCTGAAAAACTGAAAGCACCCATTTTCCAACCCAGAATTGGCATAATATGCGTTCCGTCCTGCGTAGTCAACGGCATTCTCCATACCTCTGGGTAGAATTGGTGGGCCCCATGCTTGGCCGCCTGCCAGTTTTGAGTCTGCCGATTTCTGCGCTTCCTTCAACATTATTTGCTATAGTTTAGCAGCCTGGTGGGAGTTGGGGCGGCGTAAAATCTACGATCTCCTGCCCGTCGGGTCCAAATCGTGGCTGAGGCTGCGCCTGAACGCGCCAGATGCGACCCAAAGATTGCAGACAGCTGACTCCGGCCTGATGGAAAGCCATGCCAGGCAGGGCGGGTCTCAAGTCTCTGCCCCCGCCTGGCCTTGGTTGGAGCTTGCCAGAATGCCGCAGCGGGGCTGTGATTGCTGGCTTCAGGTGCCGGCATCGTTGGTGCCCAATCAAAGTTGGGATTTGGTGGCAAATCTGTTGGCATACCTGCGGCCAAAATCGCACAAGATTGAGACACCGGAGCGCGTTGAAGAAAGATATGCCATCCATCAAGGAAACCATCAATTGAATTGACAGATCGTGAGAATCTCTCCGCATAGATTCGAACTTGAAAAGAAAGCATGTAATGTAGCAAGTGACGCTGTGTTGCGTGGCCTGGAGGTCCACCATGGACCAGCGGCATAAGCCTAACAAGCATTCCAAGAGTTCGCATGGCAAGCAGAAAGGATGAGCTGAGCTGAAAACCTATCAGACCAGGGCGCGCAGGGTGCGTGGCCTCGGAAGCTTCGTGAAACAAAAGTTCATCGAATGAACTCAAGTGAACCTCTCTGTATCCCTGCTGTCCCTGCCTGCATCCGGGGCCAGAGGGCCGAAGTGCCTCAGCTGGACTGGACTGATCTGGACTGGCTGGCCCGACGTTGCATGGAATCTGGGGCTTGCACGCGTCAGGCCAAGATGCACCTGCCGGCTGAGACCTTGGTGCCCACCAGAATCAGAAACTGCCAGAAACGCAGACGTAATCAGCATCTGCTGAATTGAGCGCTCCACCCCCAAGGCATCTGGCCTGGCATTTGGCAGCAGACCCCAGGTGCTCAGGTCATTCAGCCTTCAGGTCTTCATGCCTCTGGCAATTCTCGGGTCTCCTGTGTCCGATGGACCTGGGCCCCTTGGCCTGCAAACGCTGTGAGTAAAAAGCATCACAACCCGATGTTCTGCTTTGTGGCGAGATGCCTGCATGGCTCCCTGGGTGGCCAAGGTGGAAATCTTTCACACCCTCCTGGAGCGACACGTCTTAAAACGCTTTATACGCTTTGGCAAAACATCTGGATTTCACCTGGCGCATCGGGAGCAGGCATCTGCGGACCTGGCCTTATTTCAGCTCGATGCAGCCAAGCTTTTGCGAAAACCACGAGCTCTGCTTGGGCAGCAGCTCATGCCACGAGAAGTGGCCTCAATGCATCTGCTGGCAAAGAACAAGGATAGATCCTTAGGTGCACCACCTGCCTGGACCAGGAGGCGGGCCCATCATTGGCCTGCGTAGATGGAATCCTTGCTTTTCATCCGAATTTGCTTCCGAAACCTCTGATGTCCCTCGGGCCAAGGGGGTCGGCATCCTCGCAAGGTGGCGGCATTGTTCTGAAACGAACTTCCTGTGCTCAGCCGGCTGGCCTCCATCCGGCATGTCCATGTGGCCTGGCCTGAGGAGTAACGACAGGCAAATCGAGGAAGCCAACTGCCCTGAAGCGAGGTTGAGGCGCGTCTGGCCAGGGAGGATAGCCTCTCATGCACTGTGTAAAGCCGTGGAGTGCTGCAAGATACTGCTACGATCCGTGAGTGCCTGGTCCCGGAGGACCTGTCACATGCATGGGAGGCCTGGCAGGGGCAGGTCGCGTAGATACCGGAGAGGAATCATGGATTTGCTGTTTGCTGTACCCGTTGCATTTTCTAAGCCGACCGCCTGTTCGGCCATGACGGGCCGCCTTGAAAGCTCAGAGTAGGTCCCTTGGAATGGTTCTGCTTGCAACAGCCTGGGCCCATATCAGGTGGACCCATGGGCCGCATCCTCCTCAAATTCCATCATATGCTGCGGGCGCCGATTCGCGCAGCGAGAACGCCAGAACATCTGAGAGCAGAGCTCGTCTGGCATACCTCGGTGGCCTGAACTACGCCCGTACGCGTGCCAAGCACGTAGCAAAAAGCACTCATCACCTCCAGGTTCTCGGCCCCAGTCACCGTGGCATGGAAGTGGTTGATGGCACCTTGAGCCAGGGCACTGAGACATTATCAGTGTCTGGCAATTCGCTAGGCACGCCACGGAGCGCATGGGCCCATGACACGCGGGCTTGCCCCTGCCAGATCGGACGTGAGCAGCCTTCGAGGGATGAAGGCAGAGCGCGCCTCCCCAGTGCCTTGGATCGCCAGGTAGCCCTGGCCCGAACGGCCCTGGCCCCGGTGGCCCGGGTGCTGGTGGTCCATGCCCCGGCGGGCCGGGAATGTCCCAGGGCGGAAACCTTTCCAAGCTTCCAACGCTTCCAACACGATTGTGACGATTGTAACTTGCTAGGCATGTCATGCAGTGCCATGCAGTGCCAAGGCCTCCTTTTTGAGCGTTTTGCTTAGCCCCGGCCTTTTCAGCCGATGTAAAAGATGTGAAACACATGACAAGCTACAATGCGGCCGCCAGAGAGACTTTGCACCCTGGCTGACCTGACAAGATTATGAAACACGTCTCATTCCTTCATCAAGGTTCCAAGCGTTCTGGCGAGGTCATCGTTCTCTTTCTTTAGCACCTCCGCAGTGTGAACAGAAGCAGTGTACCGCATGGCCCGACCAGGTAAACTTGGTAAACTTTCAAAAGCCTTGACCTGAGCTGCCTACTACAGTTAGAGCGCAACACAGAAGCTAGGCCCGGCGCATCCATCTCAGCTGTGAGCTGGTGAACCGTTTGGCTCAAAGCTTTCTTTTCCTGCTTCATGACGTTCAGCTCAGCATGCAAGGAGTGCAGGTCCAGCGCGTCCGTCGCCTGCGTTTCCTGGGTGAGCTCGAGGTGCTGCAGAGTCCCTTGCAGCTTCCCGGACTCTGCCGCGTTCTCCAAAAGGCCGCGCAACTTCCTCTTGATGGCCACTAAGTCCTCCTCGGCACTGCCCTGCACGCCCTGCACGCACTGCACGCTGCTCTGCTGAGCTGTGCCCTGCTTTGCTGTACCCTGCTTCGGAATGCTGGAAAGGATGCTTTGCAGCTCACCGGAGCTCAAAGCTTTTTCTGCCTTCTTGAGCATGTCAGCTTTGAGCTGGAATAGGTGGTCGCAAGAATCATGGGCACGTTCCTTTGACCCCCGCTCTTTCTCCACTTTTGTTGTGTTCCGCGGTTTCGAAGCCACCTCGTTTTGGAGGCTCTTTGATTGTGAGAGCTGATCCAAGGCCTCTTGCAAACTTCCCGTGGTTACGCTCTCCTGCAGAAGCTCCCTCATCTTTTCCCGCAGATCTTGCACACTTTCCGGCAGGCTTACCGGTGGTTGGCTTGCCTGTGCGGGACTGGAATCTCCTCCTGCAATCGACTGAAGCACTGGTCCTAGAGCACCAGAGGAGACAGCATCGTTTAAGTGCTCCCTCAATCTTGCCTTAACATCAGCAACCGCATCAAGCTTTTCACTGATCTTTAGTGTCTTTTGAGCTTCCCCCTTGCTTCCAACAGCCGAGAGTGCGTC